GCCTATCATCGTAATATCACAATTTTAATGATACAATACTCTCCATTTATATTTATACTGATTCGTAACGATGATATGATGTGCGGATATGCAACAAATCTGTTTTAAAACGTGATATCTCAGTAATTACTTCTAATATTTATGAATCCAGGAGAAAAACGTTTGCGATACAAATAGTACGGTTAAACCGTGAGTTCTTAGTCAGATACTTTACTTCTCTAACTCAGCTCGCATCGATTTAGCTTTTCGTCATCGTCTATTTGCCTTGATAATATTAACTGTTACTAAAACGGAATTGATATATATATATATATATATATATATATATATATATATGTTGTCAATCCTAGTAAAAATAAATGTTTTCTAAAATCTCGTAACATACTTTTCAAAAAACCAGTTATGAATCATCATTGAATTTGAGAAGCCGATGTCTCGGATTAAGTATTAAAATGGAACATGACCTACTGTTGTAACAAAGTAACAGTTCCGGCTCCTCGTCCTCGCGAAGATCCAACGCCGCTACCAAATGTGGCTTAGGCGTCGCTTCCATGTGGACTATCCTCGAAGTACCGGAAGCGGTGATCAATTCAAAGTGATGACGAGCACCGCAACACAGTGTCCATTCGTTCGCTGGATCGACGCTCTCGATCATCGTTACTAATGAGGGTGTCTCGTTCGCGGTAAATTCCTTCACTAATAGAAAACCGTCGACGGTGTCGGTATCAGCTGACGAGCACCAGATGGTCCAGGCTGCATTGTGCTTCCACTGAAGGACCGTGAGTCGGCGACCGACGACCACGCACTGTTTCGTATCACAATCGTAATCTTGTTTCACAGTACAAATTTAAAATAATAAAATAGGATTGAAAAGAAAAATAGGAGACATTTAAGTGTCGCACGAGGAAATCGTGATAAATCGCGTTGTCAGATTTTAATTTTCTATCAACTGTATGACTCAGTCTTCTTACCATACGTAAATGCGATCCTCCGGGTCTTGTGATGCTGTACAAGTGACATCCCCGTGTACGCCGCAGCTTCCTCTCCTTGATATGCGCTCGGCTTCGAACGGTCGGGGCGCGAACGCGCATCCGCGCTCGTGGACGTCCTACCGGTTGAAATTTAGCGGTGGCACGTGTGAAATTGTTACACTCTTCGGCGTCATCCTCGTCGCAATCATCATCGTCATCCTCGGCGTCCTCATCGTCATCTTCTTCCTCCTTCTCTCGATCGTTAGTCTCGCGATCGTTGAACAGCTCGGCACATCTCATAGAAGCATCGCTTTCAAACTCTCGCAGCCGGAAAACGTAGACGCTACTCTCCTTACCTTTATCGCCAGCACGAAATAAGAGTATACCGTGCTGCTCGATCACGTCCAATTGCTTGATCTGCACAGACTCATCGAAAAGCAATCTGTGCGAAACTCCATCTGGAAAGAGAATCGAAAAGGAATTTAATTGAAAATTCTCGTAGCATTTCCGATAATATCTTCTGTTGCAATAATTTGTAATTTGATTCTTGAATACTAATTGCCCTATTGAGAGAAATGTATTTGATACTCATGACTATAATTAAATGGTAAAATAATTATGGAATGAATTATTAGGAGCTCTCCATTTTTATAGTTACTACTACTAATGTTAATAATAATTATATTTATAGTTACATTTATAGTTGTATATGCAAATAATTATATATATTCAATAATTGATATCGAAAATATTATATTCATCTAATGTTAATAATGTTAGTCATCTAATGTTGACTATGAATGAAGATAAAAATGAAGTTCCTCACCATAATTATTTTACCATACAATTATAGTCACAGATACTAAATATTTTATTTTTCTCTCAGTGCGCTTTTAATACATTATATTATTTATTTTTCGCTTTTCCGTTATTTACAACTTTTCGATTATTCGATCGAGAGAAAATTGTGTCTCTCTCGGACAATCAAAATTGTTAGATTTCAAATAATTAGATTTCGAGATAATATCTACGTCGTGCAGGATTACCTTCAATGAGAAAAGTCCCATTCTCCGAGGCGAGGATCAGTCTGGGGTAGATGCATCTCGGTTCCCATGGCCTGGGCTTCAAAGGACCGACAGTGGCGAGAGAGGTGGGTGCGAGGCCACGCATGATAGCTTCCAATTTCAAGGCTTGTCCGACTCGCACCATTTCGACAGCGCGTGTTTCTTCTCGCCGTCGACCTGGTGTCTCCACAACATCCGAGAGTGCTCGACGATTTAGCATGCTCTGTTACGAAATCATATCAAGTTGATTATTTTCTTTTAACATTTTTTTCGCTTTAACTATATATTATACTTAGATAGGCATCATTTCTTCTTACAATTTTTGAAAAAAGATATTTAAATATTGTGTTTTATAATATTATATTGTTTCTTAAATATTAAATATTCATATTATAATAATTATTGCATTATTATACAATATTATAATAATATTATTGCGCATTATTTCCTTACAGGAAAAAAAAAATCTGACAGTAGCTAATTTAATACTGAAAGGCGCTAATTAATTATTTATTTGGAGTATTAAAAACACTGAACAACTTTTAATGCTTAAAATAAATGATTAATTACTGTCTTTCAGTATTAAATTGGCCAGTTAAATTTCCGTAAGGGTAATGGCTTATCAAGATTATTGTGAATAAAAATTGGAACGCAGGGGAAATACAAACGAGAATAAGTGCCAGTCCGTGTAAAGTAGCTTACATTGCTCTTGCTGTCTTGCGAATGCTCTTGGTACATGTCTCGCAACAGGGCGTCGAGAGTTCTTTCCCTCTTCCTAGAGAATGTCGGCGTGTCAAAAGTAGCTTTCTCACCATTGATCAATTTAACAAGGAGAAATTCGCGGAGATTATATGGGTCCTCGAAAACTGGTGGGCAGGGAAGACTCGGTCCGAACAGAGGTACGTTTTCGTCGCAATAAATAGCGACCCGCCAACTCTTGCCATCCGCCTCGGTTGTCACCACGGCAAACACGTCTAAGTAATTGGAAATGAAACTATATTTATTTAATGACTTTCTTTTATTTTATTTTAACTCTATAATATAGTTACATAACTTTTATATTAGCAGTTTTTCTATTCTATTTTTTCAATTAATTAGTAATTAAAACGAAGGACGATGAAAATTATGGAAAAATAATTTTAAAGGCAATATTTGAAATTATATTTGTATTATAATCAGCGATTTATAATGTAAGTAGGTCAAGTGCGTGATATAACGTATTAAATTTAAAAGAACATGAATAAAATCTGTAGGCGTAATAAAAAGACACAAGAAGATTGAGAATCACTACGTTACATCTTATTTTAACTCGAGTGCTCTTTATGTAAACAACAATGGGCGAGGTTCAGTTTAATATATTGTTCGTGACCTTATCATGATATTTTTTTTAACTTACGGGTAAACTGGCTTCTTATACAGTTCGGATTGAAAGTATCTACGGCTGATGGATCATCCGTGTAAATGATGTTAACAATATCGTTGCCAATGTGTCTTTTCCTTTCGAGTTGCTGCGGATTGTCCTTTGAATACGGTAGCATCGTACTAACATGATACATAACTTCGTGACCTGCATAAACCGTGTAATAACTTTCCTTTCCTGTCATATCTCCTGAAAAATGATAGAACGTGCGAGTCGTGGAAGTAAGAGAAAGATTTCCTCTGAGTTAGTACGAGTTTATTCAAATTATGTCACGAATGTGGTACATAAAGCCAAGGAAACTATATAAAATTGAAAGAAAGGTTTGTATATCGGTAATTTATCAATATTTTAATATATTTTCTGTAAATGTATTATTACAAAGTCATAAAAAATATGATAATCAAACGATTCGTTAGTTGGAAGAATTGGAAAAAGGGCAGAACATTTTCAAATCCTGCCAGTGTAACAATCTGAAGAGACGAGTGACGATTGCAGACCTTTTCTGATTGCAGATCTCGAGTTTGCACTGCCAATATTCATGTCATCAACGTACCTTTCACATCCAAGCCGCCCCTATATTTGTCCCAACCTTTGAGCCGTATCCTCTCACCCAGGATCTCCAGGAAGCTCTCGAAACCCGGGCTACCTCTTTCTATGAGCAATGAGAAACGGGATCGATAACACATCTATTATCACTTAATTTCCCACCCCACCTATAGACTTGTCTTTTGTTCTCAGCGACACTTCCAGGCTTACCGTTAGACAACATCTCGTCGTCGGTGATCTGACCCTCTCTTGCGTAGATTACACCAAACTTAAAGTTCACCGAGCCTTCTTGTTCCTCCAACAGTAATAGATCCTGCCAAGGATCATTGAATTAATCCATACCTCCTTTACAACGTCCTACTTGAGCTAGAAAATGGTATGAGATCTTTGTAAACGTACCTTTTGCAGTTCGGGCGTGAAAACTTCACGAGGCGCTTTATCGAGTTTTTCCAGACTGAAGAAGTTGCTGAAACGTCAATAATAGATTGCAATCGTGTTTCTTTTAGTTTGTGGACATAGAGATAGTTACCTGAGAATTTGTCTGATAGTCATTGTTTTGTTCGCCGAATACGGCAACGATATTTTCTGCGCGCCCTACATAAAACATTTCTTAATTTATCACGATTAATTTTGTATTTAGAATTAATAATTTTATTCTTCGAGATACGAGTCTATTAAAGGATGGATATCAAGTATATTACAATTTATATTCGCATGCCATGTGCAAAGTAAATTGGGTATTACAAAGAGATATATAAATATCGATTTAACGCAATATATACCCAAGTAAATTGTAGCAATAAATATTTCGTTTGTAAAATAAATTGAACCTGAGTATAACGTAAGGAGACCTTTCAAAGATTTGACATATATAAGAAAAAAAGAAGAAAAAGAAAGAAAAAAGTTAGGAACATAAATAATCTCATGAATTGATCTCTGGAGGGAGATTTTCCCTACTAAATAATACATTATCTACTCACAGTTCGTCTCCATAGAATAACTCTATAGTGTGGAACACATTGATCACCGACTTCGCTCGTGACTACCGAGAGGAAAAGAGGATTTCTCTCCTGATCAGAAGCGATATAATTTTGATGCACTGTGCATAAATAAAATTAATAGCTTTTTTATTTAATTTCTTTGATTTATATTAAATCATCTATCGTAAGTAACTCTTGTAGTAATTCTTACATCTACGAGAGAGCTACTACAAAACTACTATTACAAAAAATGTAAAATATGATATTCTATGCATAAATTTTCATTAAACGCAACAATGATTAAACTCGGTCGAGTGAATAAAGAATGTAAACCGATTTACATAAATGAGATACTGATGAAATGTTTCATCATATTTTCCCAATACTATGTATGAAAAGAAAATATGATTCAAAAAATTAGGATGCCTATATAAACAGAAATATGTTAAACAACGCATATGATTATTCTAATTGGGATGATAATATTGTGTTACAGATAAACTCAACGTTCAACTTACGTTTGCCTAAGAAGTATTTAAAGTACCAACGCGTTTGGTACTCTGGATTTTCTAATATCGGCGTACTCGGCGAACCGAACATCTGTTAATGTAAAAATCATTTATCGTTATAAACATAATTCGCAGAAAGTGGGATACGATGAAAGAATGAAACGAAGTAAGAACGAGCAATTACGCGAAACGGCACGAATCTCTCGAGTGGTAGAAGAAAGAACTTGATCGTTTGATCATTAAGCAACACTTCCTCACCTCTTCTTTTTCTCCGGGAGAATCTCCGTTCTCCACTCGAAATCTTCTGCCATTGTCGGCACCATCCTGCTCGATCTGCGGTAGCTAGAAAGACATTTTCGAGCGTCACAATTATCAAATACATACATAACAAATGAAATGTCCGTGAGAGAGAGAGAGAGAGAGAGAGAGAGAGAGAGAGAAAGTCAACATGTTCCAGTTTCAAATTTGCGAATTGTAATTCGCTTCGAACGTATGAAATGATAAAATCGAATCCGGGTCTTAAATCTTTTCATGTAGACTTTATATAAATAATCTATTTCGAGAACTCGATTTCATTTCTACGAAATTCGGTATTCGAATTCAATTGAAAAATATTTTTTTCTCTTTTTTTCTTTTTTTTCTCGCTTTATAAACCATTAAAAAAAAAATTTAGGAACTTTCCGTCTGTGATTGAAAGTCGCTGCGGTCGCGACAGAATTGAAAGTAGATCCAACGAAACATACGTTTCCAAGAAATAAAAAAGTTGAAAAATCAAATATAAAATTCAAATCCTTGAAAGAAAATTTTATGAAATAATTGATTATTAATACAAAGTAGTACGCTCTTCACCGATGGATTTATCAAAGACGTACATTATATTTTTGATTGAAATTCTATTTGACAGACTTAATGATTTTAAAGAATTTTTCATTTATTATTTTCCGGGTAAAACTGTGTCGCGTCTGAACGTATTGTGACTCCGTATATTAACGCGAGCCAAGCACTGCCCGGGTACACCTTCGACGAACTGTGTGATAAGCAAATCAATAGATAAACAGCAAGATAGAGGGAAACAATATAATCAGCTTACTGGACGTGTCATGAATTATCATAGGGCGCTCGTCCGTTTTATCGGAGTGATTAGCGTTTACCTCGCACAAGTACTTATGCATACGGCTAAGATCCTTGTAACAAGTAGAGCGAGGCTCTTACCTAGATATATTATATGTATCTGCTTTCATTGTTCCCTTACCATTTCGACACTGCCGTAACATCGTCTCGACAGGACACCTCGTCTCGCTATTGCATCTGTGGTGGCTCTGAAACATGGTATAAAACATGTTCAGATTTAACCGCGAGCTCACCACGAGGATATATTTTATCTTGAGAGATTTTTCACAAGAAATTGCTTAATTAAAATAGTTTATTCGTTCATATTCGCCGGAGACGTAGTACGCGTTCTATAAATACGTTTGATTTTCTACGTAGTTTTTTTTACGAAGTAATTCGCACTATTCAGAAACAAATGACCTCACTGCGCATAAACGGTTTTTATACCTTTTTTTTTACTACATGTGTACGCATTCTCATGGAATCGTTTCGCACCAGGAAAGACACGCCTCGTCCGTCGCGGTGAATTCTCGACCGAGAACACGTATATTTTTTCTAACTTTATCGTGTCTTTTTGACGATGTTTCCAACACGTCGTTCGCCATTTGAAAAACTACGTGGATCAAAAAAATATTGAAATGTTTCTCGAATTATCTATCTCACTCCGAAATCGATTCAGCATTGCAAATCGATTTCTGTATTCACAGAATGATCCGACTAATTTTTTATTCAATCTAGACTCTATCTTTCATTAACTAAAATATTATTATGATGTAGATAAAAATCTTTGATCATTTCAAGTAAAATAATTTTTTCTCTAATTTCAATTTTAGAATAGAATTTAATTACCGAGATGTTTAATATTGAATGTTGAGAAGTTGAAGCAAAGGGATGATATATGATATTCTCCTAGAAATTTTCCCTAAAAAGCATTAATTACATCGGGCAAATAATCTATCATATTAAAAGGTTACAGAACCACGTTCCTCGATATTCTCTCTCGCACGGAAGATTAAACGGTAAAATGCTATCGGCAGATAATTATCATTGATTCACTAAATGTATCTCGATCAAATACAATCATCCCCCGGTGAGCGAATCGTATCTACCTCCATGTGACCATAATATACGATGGCACCCTTCGTTCGTCGGTTCAATCCCTCTCTCGCGCTTCTCATTTTTCACGACATGAATATCTAGGTTAACGAGAACTACGTCGAGGTCGAATTGGCCGGGTAATCGGGAGAGGCCGTTACACGAAAGAGACAAAGAGAAACGATTACTGTTCAAGATTCGGGATTCGCTTGGGTCGCGGGTCGCGGGTTTCGCACAGCATTGCCCGTTAGATTGTCCGTTTCAGTGACAAGGTTTTATTGGTTTCTGAGTGAAGCAAATAGAAAAAAGGTCAAGCAACAAGGAGCGAATTACTCTGTTTTTCAATAAAAGGTAATAAAAAAAAGTCAACGAGTAAATTGGTACGGTATTTCACGCGACAAATAGGAAGTTGAACAGCAAGAGAACAACAAGTTACTTGCTCATCCTTTTCGAGGAAGAAAGTAATGGGAATATAATCGAGAGACTAAATCAGCAACTTGTTACTTGACCCCCGCAATTTTGTCTTCACATGTGTGTCTTCACATATTGCCGTTAGAGATCACGCGTTAGAGTAACGTACACATGACTGGCACGTCGATGTAGCTGTCTAAGTTGCGAGGACGGCATGAGCGCCGCCACGCATATCGATCTGGATCTGTTCCTGCGTATCATCTCCTGGATGCTCGAACTAGGTCGCAACGATTCCTCTTCGCTGTCGCTGGTCGTATTCGAGCTGGCGACCTCGCTATTCTCGTGACGTTTCACTCTGCGGAACTTGCTTTTCTCCGCGGAGCTCATCGAGGTTGACGAAGCTGAGGCCGTCGTCGGGTGCGTTGATGACGCGGTTGACGAGGCAGTTCCGGAGGAGACACCCCGCAGTCGCGAAACGAGTTTGATATCCAAGCATAGCATTTTCGTCGATTTTTTTTTAAATTGCCTGGCGATGTCTCTACGTATTATGTACAATTTAACAGTATGACTATGCACAACTATGCGGTTTTATTTCACATACAGCATGCGCCACTAGGAAACTGGCTTGGTATGTTCCCCTTTTGGTAGCATCATCATCATCATCATCATCATAATGTCGTTGAACAGCCGGCGAGTGTCGGCACCCGCATCGCTGTGCGACTTGTGCAAATCAAATTGCGGCACGTTGCAACGCGGTGAGGGTCGGTCGGAAGAAGAAACTGCAGGTGTCGTGAGATTATTTGACGAATCTCGACTACGCGGTGTGGCTCGTTGTTTTTGGACACCGTTAAGCACCGCGGCTGATGCTTTATATCTCTCAGCGTAGTTCAGGAATACCAATTACGGCGACCACCTCTTGTGCCGTGTGGTAATTTGAATTCTCTCTCTCTCTCTTGACGTTCGGATCGATCGCCGATGGGCGATGTAGGATGTCGAATAGGAGATCACCGCCGATATACACAGAACGAGAGGAACGAAGTGCGATCTAACGTGGCTTACACGTGTATACGATATTTATGCGTCACTTTTGTGATCTTTTAAATGTTTCGATAACGTAATGCTAAATGCACTTAATGTCTTACAGTAAATGATAAATTCATCGTAATTTGCAGATAGTTGTCGTACACACCTGTGAAAATAATTATATGTCACCGCAGGTAATTGTACGTATATCGCGATATCAAATAGATATAACAATAAATGACAAAGTCTTTTTTAAGGTCTATACATATATAATGGTTTTTTAAAATAAAATAAAAAGTTTGAAAAATTATTTTTAATTCTAATTCTGAATGAAATAAGTAGCTCTCATATTAAAAATATTTTTTTATGTATTAGGTGTTGGAATTAATTCGTAGCGTTTTACAAGTGAAGTACTTTCATTAATGTATTTTTTAATGCTCATGTGAAATAAATAACATTCTTTCATTAAAAACGCTACGAATTAATTCCAACACCTAATATTATTTTATTGTCATTCTTTATTCTCTAATAAAATAGAGCATATTAATCATTAATTCAAAGTTTTTCAGTTAAACTCGATCTATTTTGATTAATCGCGGAGCGGTATAAATTAATGAATGAAAGGAACGGTTTTCTGAAGTATCTCTAGTAAAAATTTAGTTAACAGATCCGAAATTTTATTGGACATCAAAATAATTATGTAGGATGCTTAAGCTGGTTGCTAGATGTTAAAATTTGTTGCAGCACTGCTCGTCATGCTTGAGCTTTCTACATAATTATTTTGGCGGTTCAACCAAATTATTTTCTATATTTAATTTTAGATACAGCACAATCGTGTATTTTACGTGTATGATTTTCATTACAATATTACATGAAAAAAATCTACTAGTTAATAACACTCAGTTTTATATTTTATCATCCAGTTTTATATTTTTGTTTGTTAAGAGTTTTTATTGAAGGATAATTTTTTCTGCGCAAGAGCATTAATAAAAGATTAATAAAGCTACGTATGGATATGTTTTTATCGCATAGTATCGAAGACGATACTAATGAAAAACTTCTACATTCTTTGCTTTGATTGCAAATCAAAGCAAATTTAATCAAGACCCAAATGCGTAGGATTGTCTCGTACTAAGAATTTTCTCAGGATAATGACATTCTTGTAGCTTATTTCAAACTTGAAGATACTTTTTTGCGAACACAGCAGAAAAGCATGATATATACGACGTGACCTTTACTTAAAGTTTTTACTTCGAACGCAAAAGATGAATTCAGCAATTACGAAATCTAATCAAAATTCCACTGAAAGAATTGGATTCAAAATAACAAGATAAAATGAAGATTGAGATCAAAATTAGCGTTTCTTAAAAATTCAGACAGGTGTTGAATGCTAATATAATAATAACAAGATTTGCACTGAAAATGTAAGAGAATGAAGCGCCTACGCCAAGAATAGCACAAATGGCTAGATCTAATGAATGAATAACTGAATTGAGTTCATGGATAGACGACTCTACGCGCGCACAGTCGTTCGTCTCATAGATACTTTATCGGATATCGGGCGAAGATCCATCGATACCATTGAAACGACCTTTTACCTTGCCGAAGCGTCTAATATCCGTGATATCAGAGGCCTTCGTGATAAGCGATGCGTGTCAAAGATACATTTCTTATTATAGGTCTTATTATTGATAAATTCAAATTATACCCAATTTAAGTTACTTTTTATCATTTCTAGATCACCATTACTCCGACTTAATATATCATTAATTTAATTAAAACAATAGACTGTTAGATATCAAAATAGCAATTGTTACAATTCAAGCCAATCTCTTGAATTAAATAACATTTTGTTTTTTTTAAATTTCCATGTGTGTTAAAATGTAAGTTAAACCATTTTTGTGATTAGTTTTAAAATAAAGCATGTCCATGTACGCACTTAATAATAAAGTCAAATTTTATACATTTTCTCGAGTCAAACTGTTTCGGCAAAAATTTTTTAATTCGAATTTTCTTCACACATCGGAAACGAGTCATCGATTTAAAGATAAGGTTTTATGGCTATTTCTATCAATTTAGATTGATTTTTATCTTGGTTTAATTTATTCTTTTTATAATCTTGAGAATTGGAAAAGATTAAAAAATAAACCGATGCTAAATTCATAATGTTAAATTATACCCAATTGAGTTAATTATTTTTATAGTTCACCACTGCTTCTACTCAATATGTTAATTTAACTAAAACAACGAAGTTAGACATCAACTCGAGAAAATGTATTAAACTTGATTGAAATTTAGTTTATTATTTACTAAATGCGTTAATGTACGCCAATTTTGGAGCTAACCACAAAAATGGATTGATATATAATACATTTTTATGCACACAAAAATTAAAAATAAAAATGTTATTTTACTCCAGGGATTGAGTTACCATGCTATTGCTATTGCTATTTAGATATCTAACAATCCTACCTTCGACAAACAATGGATCTCCCTCTATCAATTTTTCGTTCCTATCGAAGAGTCGTTCGGATGGACAATTCGTGTGACCGACATTTCACATTTGTAAACGAATGATTCATGACATTCGGTGATAACAAAAAATGGCCGCTATCGATTCTTTTTCTTTGATCTCGCGATCCTGTGAATCGAAAATCTCCAGTTGAGGGACAACGGATGTTGTCGGACGGATACGGTGATTCGATAACCGAGCATGTGAAGTGTTCCGTTGTATATACATATAGGCAAGACATGTAGAAGTTACGCTAACACGAGTCTTGCATTCCGTAAATTCTACGGACAAGTGTCGGGTCATGGAATATTCGCTGTGGGAAATATCTAAGGTGTCCAATACGTTTTGTTTGCTCTTACATCGAATTGCAAATTTTTCTAGAAAATCCAAGCGAGCTCTTGGAACGCATGTTATCGCGCGAAAAAAGTGGACATTTAAAGCGATTTCATAAATTAAATTAAAATTTGTTTAGGAACCGATTTCCGCAAGCTCAGCGGAAAATCTTTTATCGTACGTAAATAGTGAGAACATATGAGAGTGATCGATCTTCTATTCTTCTTAACAGCAATTCCATAGAGATTTGAGATTTTACGAAATCCTTGTCACCAGACCAGATATACGTATGAGAATAAGATAAGTTCGCCGTGTCACGTTCTCGAACACGATCAGCCTTTTTTTGCACCAGAGTGCAAAAGGATCAAGTAAAGCGTTTCACGATTCTCAAAACGAGTCAGAAGTTTCTTCAGAAACAACCTCGCTATTCAAGCCTCGGCCTTCTCTAGCACCAACTTTCTATGAACTTAACTTTTCTCCTTCTTCTAAGAGAGAGCTACAAGATAAAAACTTCACTTCGTAAAACACTTAGCTTAATTATAGCTTAACCTTTCTTAGAATAATTTACTACACCAGTGTGACATTAAATTACGATTAACGTCAACCAGTTACTTCTTCAATAAATTACTTTTGATATTTCTCTGTTTTCCTCAAAAGTTTTGTTTCAAAGTCTTCTGAGCAAAGTTAACCGAACATTTAAATTTTGTTATACAAGAAATCTTAATAAAAGATTTATTTGTTAAGTAAAAATCGGATCGTTGAGATGATATTTTTTCTCTTTTTTTACAGTTATCATTGAGTTGTTACCAATGTTTTAAATAGTATTTTAAATAGCAAGTCGATTAAGTGTTGAACATTTAATCATAAAAAATTATAGGATTTCAATTGCGAGGCTATATCATACTTTGAAAGATAATTGCGAGAAGACAATGTCACTGTAAGTCTATAGATAACTTCATTACGAATTACTGCTATGTACATGCAATAATTGTGACAGGTCTATCTATTTAATATCTATTTAAAGAGAAATAAGATTACAAAGATATTTAGACTGTCAAATGCAATCGTTAATTTTCTGAATTAAATCTCTGCGACACTAGTAGAAATACAACGGGCTGCTTCGTCGGTCCGGACGCGAAGAATACCACTTGCGGAACTCGAACGACGGCACTGAACTGACGATACTCCCTCGCGTCTTGGGTCTGCAACCCCTACTGGCCGTATAAGCCGTATTGCCGCTGCCGCTGCCGCCGCCGTCCCGTGGCAAACCTTTACAACCCGGCGCGTAGCGCAGCAGCCCCCGCGAGATAGTGGCAAGTTCCTCGCAGTGACATGGCGACTCGACGACTGGCGCCGCGTCGACGAGTTCGTCGGTCCCCACGTCTACCTCCGTCTCTTCCTCCCCTGTCTTCATCTATTTATCGTCTTCCACTGTCTCCTTCTCCTCTGTTACCATCCCTTCCCCTCATCTACGTCCTTCTGCTCTTCCTCACCTCTCGTTCATTTATCTATTTGTTCCTCCGCACGCGTACGGGGTCCGAGTGGTGCCTTATCGCGGCACCATGACGTGTGTCACCGTTACTCGTGTCCAGCGTAGCATATCGATGTGCGAACCTGTCGCCACGATTCGGCGTAGAGTATGGTGTCGGTTCGGTGACCCGTATTCTCGCCGGCACCAGGTCGACGCGACGCTCCTTCAATCTCCACCGTTGTCCTGGCGACACCTCCCTCACCCCTCTTTCTCACACCACCATCAAATTTTGATCACCCAAACACCCCGTTCGAACGGAGTGGGATTAGGGCGCGATTGTGCGTACCGGCGAATTAGCACACAATTAATCAGATTTTCTTACCGCAATCAGCGATGTCCTTGTGAAATGTAAATAGCCGGAGAATTAACCTGGATTTTTTTACATGAGATAAACCCTATGTAGCGCTTCGTACATAGGGAATATTTGAAAACTGTTGCTGAACTCGTGAAAAAGTACCTCTTTTTTAATGAACCCGAAATAATTTGAAAATTTTATAACGGAACTGTTTCAGAACGTAGCAAGTTAAACGATATCTCAACTTCAAAGGCTTGAATTAATAAGAGAAAACTTTTTTCCCTCGGTTTTCAATTGGAATATTACTTTAATAGAGTTTTAATTTGAAATGTTTTATATTAAATTGTGTACATATATATTGTTAAATTTATAATGTCACTGTAATGTCATGTCAACTCAATTTGAGTTATTTTTTAATCATTTTTATAGATCGCCACTACTACTTAATATACTTTTAACTGAAACGTTGAAGTTCAATAATTTAACTCGAGAAAATGTATCTATTAAATTTAATTCAAATTCAGTTTATTACTTACTAAGTGCATATACGTTAATACAAACGTTGTTTATGTTGAAACACTAACGGAAATGAAAAGATTTACATTTTGGTACACATGGAAGTTAAAAATAACAAAATATTAACTCAAAGAAGAATAAAAAGAATAGAAGAGAAGAGCGCAAGAGAAATAGAGAGAAAGAAAATAAAATTCTCAAATTCTCTCATATTTTAAAAAAACTCTACAAATTAAACAATTTACAACATTTTTTTATTTACTTTACGGAGTAAAATATATATGAATCATCAAGTATTGAGAAACAGAAATTTTGTGAATCAATATAATTTTTTGATATTAAATATTGCTAATAAATTTTAATTTTAATATATCATTTGAAATTGTACATATATAAACAACAAAAATAATCAATAAATATGTTTCAACTATATTAATGTATTTATCACACATTTATTTTTTATATTGTAAAAATATTTAAATTTCTTGCAGCTTCATAATATATTACATACATTACTTATGAATTTGCATCTTTACACAAAAAATTAAAAAGTTTATGAAAATAGAACAATAAAAATTTGAAAAACATATCTTTTTCCGGTGTAAAAAGCCCGACAAGAAACAACTATTACTTGTTAAGAAACAAAATGTTAGTCAAAATTTATTCAGTGACTAAACAGTTTATTAAGAAACTAAATATATTTTATTTTCTTTTCGCGTGACAGTGTAGTGGCTGGATTTATGTCCGGAATGCTGACGTATTTACTCCTGTTTCTTTTGTTCAATTTTGCATCCTACATTGCAGCTGTACTGCTTTCCATATTGTTCGTATTCGAAACCTGTATGTAGTTCTTGCATGCGTATACGTGTGATATTTCGTATTCGAAATCTTCATGCAGTTCTTGCATTGTAAAATTATGTTAATATAGGAGTTGAAATGTATAAATATTTTCATTGTATTTTAGTTATGCGATAACGTGTTATTTTATTGTAATGCCAATTATCGCTCCGATTTCATCTTGGTAGGTTTTACAGCAGCACCAACATTACTGATGGTGCCTCAATTGTGTATTCACATGTTTTTGCGCGTATCTCTGTGTAATTCTTCTCTTATACCATACAATAAATTAAATTAAATCAACAATTTTAAAAAATTATTTATATCGCTAAAGGTCTGTTCTACTTTCGGATAAAGTAGGCGATAATTTATCTCATGCAACATATACACATACCTACATATCTACGATAATAGCGTGAAGTGATGCATAATAGAATTATATCGTAATAATTTTTCTTCACGATTGCCATAACCTGTCGTGAATTTTATCAGTCGCGTATCTTGTTTTTTTGCTTTATGGAAGAGCAAATTGGATTGCATGTAATATGGCAAAACGCCAAAATAGTCTCTCTGTGATATACATTCCATTTCATGCGCCACACGCGTGTAGTGAAAAGGTATTTTTGCATTAATTCGTAGAATTGAAAATTTATATATAAATATTGAGTATAATATATATAAATAAATAATTAAAAATCTATACATATAATATATATGAATAAATAATTAAAAATTTATATATAAATATCGATAAAAGTTAGCGAACGTTTCCTTGATTAGTTGTATAAAGAATAAATGACAGACGTAAGGCTAATAAATGGCAGGCTCCAATGTCTGTTTTCTCTCACGGATTGGAGAACGAATTTTCCGAGATACACCAAGTTTTCGATGTGTCATTGGTTTATCGACTCCCGATAAATTCTCCCAGTTGGTTCATCCAGCCGGTGGTTTCTTATCGACTACAAAGATGGTATAGGATTTTATCCCGCGCAACTGCAAAGCGATAACCGATAAGCTTGCACCAGACTATGCGCAAGACAATTTAAAATTCAAAATTAGCTTCATGTAAGATTTGCGAATAGAATGAATGAATTTATTTATCAAGTTCGTATTCGTCGTTCACCATTCGTGCTAATTTGCCAGTGTTTCTTCAGACAAAATCAAAGAGTATGAATCACAAAAATGTTTCAAAACGATTGATAAAATCGCGCTGAAATACGTAAGCGACTGTTGCACGCGCCGTATAGAATTTTAAGTGTAGAAAAGAATCGAGAGCACGACAGATAAGCGGCATTATAGTTATTACATAGCCGACTGGCGCTATAAAAAAAAAGGAGAGGCGATTAAAGTTGCTACTTACATGGCGCTATAAATAATAGAAATAGATAGAGCGGTTATCGATTGCATGAACATAACTGCGCTTTCTAAGGGGTTGCACGAGCTAGTGGATCGTTATGTATACACAGTGTTCTTGAAAGTTGACGGTACATATTTTTAAAGCACTTGGATTTATTTTTAACTCGTCGAAAAAAAGTTTCGTAAAAACTGCATATCTGTATTTATACTCGTAAATGGCCACAGAACGGCCATAGAATTACATTCAGCTGCATAGTGTAGTACTGTATATACTATTTTGTATATTATTTTCATAAAGAGAGTCTTTAAACTGATAATCATTAAAGCAAAAGCCTTTTTAGATCAAAGGCGAGAGAGAAAGAAATTGTGCATTATAACGGCGGCCGCTCATTAAAATAGCGTGGGCTGTGCGATTTTTTGCAGGCGCGTTCTGTGCATTAATTGCATGGAATTTTGATTTCGTATCGATCTTTTCTATTGAATTTATTATAAACACACGCAGTTCAAACAAAGAATCTTATTCTTTCAATGTGAGAGCTCGCAAAAATATGCAACAAATAGACTCATTTTCCGACAGTGATGCAATTTGTCGGAGAATTATTCTTTTAATACGTATTGTTCAACATGTATATAATGCTATTCTGTTATCTAATTTGAAACGCAATAATCTACGCAACTAATAATAGATACGCAGACAGTCTCGTGTTGCATAATTATGAAATGTTTCAGAGACAACTGTTGTACCTATTAGACTCCCGTAGAAAGTAACATCGAAACACTTTTAACTTAATAGCTGGGGTATGTATGTCGCAAACATCTACGTACAATATATTTTTATCATAATTAGCAGTTGCGAAGTACGCATCCTTCCGTATGCGGAAAGTAATCTGCAAGAATACAAGGAAAATGTACATATACGGAAAGAATGATTTTATTAAAGTATCTAAAGATTTAGATAGAGCTTTGAAAATAATTTACTGTTGGATATCAAAGGAACAATATAGTACCCTAATTCTTCGAATTAAATAACATTTTGTTATTTTTAACTTCTATTTGTAAATCAATTCATTTTTACAGTTACTTTCAATGTAAAACAACGTCTACATTAACATACGTTAGTAAATAATAAACCAAATTTGAGTCAAATTTAATATATTGTATTTTCTTGGATTAAATTATGTAACTCAATGTTAATTAAACACTTGTTAATTAAATTAATAACATATTAGGAGTGGTAATCTAGATAAAAATGGTTAAAAATAAGTAAGAGTGGTAATCTAGATAGAATTGATTAAAAATATGTCAGACTAAGTATAACTTGACATTATGAATTTGTTGGACAAAATAATTATGTTTTGTTACGAAACTCAAGTATAATGAGCAATACTAATAAAGTTTTAACGTTCTAGCAACCAATTTGATATCAATCAGTCTTATATAATTATTTAGGTCAACAAAATTACTTCCAGATCTATATCTAATTAAATTTTTAGACACTTCAGCAAAATCGTCCTTTCCCTGTTAAATTTGATTAATTTCACGGTATATCCTAGATTTCAATCGAACAATGCTAAATTTCAAGAACGCTCCTCAATTAGAAAAAAAGCACAAGAAGAGTTCTCAGAAATGATTTTCATTATATCTTATCTACATATAACGGTCAATATTGAATTGATTTCCTCAAATTTGCCGTAGCTATCATGAAAAGTACGGGTACTGTCAACATGCCTGATTTCCGCGAAAACATTGATATACTGCCGAAAGGTTTAATCGAGTACACGAAAATATTGATACAGTTAATAGATTTACACGATTTCCACGAAAACGGTGAAAAGAACACACATATATACTGCGCAGTTATGTATTTAAAAAAAAAATGGCCAAAAAAGTAGAGGAATCCAATTAATGTGATTATACATATTTAACGTACACATACGGCAAACTCGTTCAGGACACGAAGCAATGTTTTTTCCGACGATTGAGTTAACACGACGTCATTTTCGCTAATAGAGAGAATTTAGGAGGTCTCGCAAACTTTTCATCAGATTTCAGTCATCGATCCTTTGCGCTCGAGTTTGGAACGTTATTCACGCACGAAAAGTGCGGTAAAGCCAAATGTGTGTCGCTGATTACGTAAATTGAAACCCGTATACGATTACAGAAATACGTGCGAAAGGAGGACGCATCTCAAGTGCGCATGGTCATAGTTTATGGCGATAACAACGCTGACCAA